CGGCCCCTCCTTCCCCTGCTGTTCCTTCCACCAGCTCTGGAAGCGTTCCATCCTTGGCTCCCAGAGCATACGCCCAGGTGGCCACAGCCCCTCCATGTCATCTGCCCCGACCGCCGCCTCCAGCTCCATCCCCAGTGGCCGGGGTCCCTTCCTCACCCTGACCAGGAAGCACGGTGTCCGTTGCCTCCTGGTGCCCACCTCGCCCCACATGGAGACCTACGTGCAGGTGTTGGCGCGTGTGGTGGGGCCCACGACTGTGGTGGCAATCCAAGATGTACAGGAAGGTTGTCTTCTTCCTGGCATTGGAGGCCGCTGCCCAGGAGGTGGTGGAGAAGGGCCTGGTGGTGGGGGGACGATGTAAACGCTGCCACCACCCAAGTGAAAAACCGCCTCTTGTAAATCCTGGAAAAACTCACTTGGGAAGTTTTCCCTGAGGCCCCTCGGCTTTTCCACCCCTCCCTCGGGAAAGCTGAGAAAGAAAACAAACAAAAGGGAAACCCAGACATTGCCACCAGGTAATTTCAAAACATATGCACAGACCTTTTAAGACACAAAACCAATCAGGTTCTTAAAAAAAGGTAAATTTTATTTTAAAAAAAGAAGAAAGGAAACACATCTGGAACATCAGGTTATTGCTAGATTTTATAGAGCAACTGAAAAGGGGTTAAACACCAGGAATCGCTCCCTGGGATCCAGTTTAACATTACAAAAGAAAACAAAAATACCTGAGCTTAGCACAGAGGAAATCCACAAGCCAAAATAAAGAAATGAACCTGATTGCGTCTATCTAAACATTCCCTGTCCCAATGAATCTTTCTAGTTATGGAAGATGATTTTTCATACCTGGTCCAAACTTTACACAGTATTCCTGCTGCCCCGTCTCTTCAGCCAAGAGAGAACAACAGACAAAAGTGAAGCTTTTTCCCCATTTTAAAAAGTTCTAGCCTTCCCATTGGCTCTATTGGTCAGGTGCCCACTCCCTTTCCTTTACCTGGGGGACTTTTTTTAACCCTTTACAGGTAAAGCAAGCAGAGAACAGCCACCAAGAGGGACTTCATAGCTAACTGGCTGGCTGGGTGTCCATAAAAGGGAGCTACCCCCCACCTTCATTTATCACAGACGGGTTGCACGGTGCCACCGCTACAGGCACCGCGTGTCTGCCCCCTGTTTGCCCATCTCTGTGGACCGCGGGGTAATCACAGGGACCCAACTGGAGGACAATTGCGGGTCTGTGACCCCGTCCCCCGCTGCTCTGCGGAATGAGCCGCACCGCTTCCTGGTGGAAACCCGTGGTTTCACGGGTAAGGTGCAGCTCACTCTCCAGTGCTGGGGGGACTTCCACCTCATCCGTGAAGGCTGTTTTGGAGGAGGGGAGGGGGACCTGAGAGGCAGGACATTGCAGCCTACCAGCGCGCCCCCAACTTCCGTGACTCCCTGCTGGCTTTTGGGGTTGGGCATGGATTGTTGCGAGGCCCGCTGGGGGCTGCCGACACCCCTGCCCGCGAGAATCCTCCCCAGCCCTCACTATGAAACCAACCATCTTTGCCACCTTAAACACCCGTGGCTGTAGGGTGGGTCTCCACAGGTGCCAGGTGCTCTCCTTCCTTCGGGAGGGGGGCTACTCTGTGATTTTCCTGTAGGAGACCCACACAGCTCCAGCCACCAAGGCTAGTTGGAGGCTGGAGGGGGGGGTGGGGTATACTTTAGCCCCTCAGCACTCATTTGGCTGGAGTGGCCACCCTGTTCTCCCCGACCTATGGCCCGAGGTGCTGAAGGTTGCCGAGGTCATGCCGGGTCGTCTGCTGCACCTCTGGGCCTGGTCAACGTCTACGCCCCAAACTCAGGCCCGGAGCAGGTGCGTTTCTATCGGCAGGCATCCGCCTTCCTTGGCACCTTGGATCCTCATGAGTGCCTGGTCTTGGGTGGGGATTTTAATACCACCCTTGAGGACCGGGACTGCTCTGGGTTCGGGAGCAGCCAGGCCGCCGCAGGTATGCTCAAGGAGATCGTCGACCATCACTCCCTGGTGGATGTCTGGCGAGACCACCACCCGGATGACAATACCACCTTTACCTATGTGCGGGTGGAGGTCGATGGGTCGTGCCACTCTCGGCTGGACTGCATTTATGTATCATGTTTTCATCTAGCACAGGCTCACTCCTCCACTGTTCAGCTGGCCATGTTCTCGGACCACCATTTAGTGGCTGTGATGGCCTCTCTTACCCCAGAGAGGCCAGGACCGGCCTATTGGCATTTGAACAATAGCTTGCTGGAGAATGTGGGCTTCATGGCATCCTTCCGGGAGTTCTGGCTGGCCTGGCAGGGGCAGCGGCGCGCCTTTCCCTCGGCCCAGTGGTGGTGGTATGTGGGGAAGGTGCGCACCCAGCTCTTCTGCCACAACTACACCTGGGGTGCCAGCCGGCCGAGAGGTGCGGTGATAGAGCAGTTGGAGCGGGAGGTCTTGGAGCTGGAGAGGCATCTGGCCACCAGCCCCGGGGTTACGTGGTGGGAGAAGCGGGAAGAGCTCCGGGTCCTGGAGGACCATTGGGCCCGGGGCACGTTCGTTCGATCCCACATCTGTCTCCTTCAGGAGATGGATCGCGGCTCCCGCTTCTAAGCCCTGGAAAAAAAGAGGGAGATTAAAAAGCACATCACCTGCCTTTTGGCAGAGGATGGCACCCCCCCACACACACGGATCCGAGGAGATGCGTGGAAGGGCCAGGGTCTTCTACGCTAACCTCTTCTCCCCGGATCCGACCAATGCCAATGCTTGTAGGTTGCTCTGGAACAAACTCCCGACGGTCAGCATGGGCGACCGGGACCGGCTGGAGCTCTCACTCTGGCCGAGTTCTCGGAAGTCTTCCATCTTGTGTCCACCAATAAATCTCCGGGCATGGACGGGCTGACCGTGGAGTTTACCATGTGTTCTGGGACGTCCTCGGCCTGGACCTTGTCACCGTCTGGGCCAAGTCCTCTGTCGTGCAGGCGAGCTGTGCTCGCTTTGCTACCCAAGAAGGGGATCTCCGCGACCTTTGGAACTGGTGTCCCATCTCGCTCCTCAGCATGGACTAAAAAGTCATAGTGAAGGCCATCTTGCTGCGGCTGGGGTCCGTGCTGGTGGACGTGGTCCATCCCGACGAGACCTACACCGTCCCGGGTCACACCATCTTCGATAATTTGTATTTGGTCTGAGACCTCTTGGAGCTCGGGTTTAGGGATGGTCTGTCGTTTGCCCTCCTGTCCCTAGACCAGGAGAAGGCATTTGACAGGATGGACCATGGGTATCTCCTGGGCACTCTGCGGGCATTCGGGTTCGGGCCCCAGTTCGTGGGCTTTCTCCAGGTGCTGTACGCCTCCACGGAGTGCTTGGTCAGGCTCAACTGGACCCTGACCGAACCGGTCAGCTTCGGGCAAGGGCACATCAGGGGTGTCCGTTGTCAGGCCAGCCCTATACTCTGGCAATCAAGCCCTTCCTCTGTCTCCTCCTCTGGAAGTTGACGGGGTTGGTACTTTGAGAGCCAGAGCTGTGGCTGGTCCTGTCGGCGTACACCAACGAGGTGCTTCCCGTGGTCCAGGACCCGGGCGACCTGGTGCAGGTGGAGGCCTGCCAGGTGATCTACTCGGCGGCCTCCTCCGCCCGGGTCAACTGGGTCAAGACCTCTGGCCTGATGGTCGGGGCAGGGTGGCAGATGAGCTCCTTCCCACCCGCACTTCAAGCCATTCGGTGGAGCACGGGTCCACTGCTCTATCTCGGCGTCTACCTTTCCGCCACACATCCTTTTCTGCAAGAGAACTGGCAGGATATGGAGGCCAGGGTGGGTGAGCAGCAGCAGAGATGGATGGGACTCCTCCCGTGCCTCTCCCTGGGAGGGAGGGCGCTGGTACTGAACCAACTAGTCCTGTCCATGCTCTGGCACCAGCTCAACACCCTGAGCCCAACCCGGGGATCCTGGCCTGGCTCCAGAGGGTAGCTGTGGAGTTCTTCTGGCCAGGACTGCACTGGGTCTTTGCAGGGGTTCTGAGTCTTCCCCTGGAGGAGGGAGGACAGGGCTTGTAAATGTACCTTTTGCTAGAGTGTTTATCTCTGTTTGCTGTAGCTTTGAACTTAAGGCTAGAGGGGGTTCCTCTGGGCTCTTTGAATCTGATTACCCTGTAAAGTTATTTTCCATCCTGATTTTACAGAGATGATTTTTACCTTTCTTTCTTTAATTAAAAGCCTTCTTTTTAAGAACCTGATTGATTTTTCCTTGTTTTAAGATCCAAGGGGTTTGGATCGATGTTCACCAGGGAATTGGTGGAAGAGTCTCCCAAGGCTACCCAGGGAGGGAAAGGTTTTTAGGCGGAAGACAGAGTTTCCCAAATAACTCATAAATCATTTGGGTGGTGGCAGCAAAAGCAGATCTAAGCTGGTAGTTAAGCTTAGAGGTTTTCATGCAGGTCCCTACATCTGTACCCTAAAGTTCAGAGTGGGGAAGGAACCTTGACACTGGCCACTCCAGGCTGGTATTAAACTCCCAAGATTACAGCTTTTCTTTAACCTTGGATGGGTAGATGCTGCCACCACCCAAGTGCAAAACCCCTTTGAGAACCCAGAAAGGCGCACTTGGGAATTCCTTCCTGTGGGGTACCCTCAAGCCCTTTCACTCCCCCCTCTGGGGAAGAGCTGAGAAAGAAAAACAAAGGAAATCAGCTATTGCCACCAGCTAATTAAACAACATGTGCACAAACCTCTTAGGACACAAAAATCCAATTCTGTTCTTAAAAAAGGTAAATTTTATTAAAAACAAAAAGAAAGAAAATACACCTGGAAACTCAGGCTATTGCTAGATTTAAAAAAAAAACACTTACAAGGATTAAGCATCAAGAATAATGTTCTTGAGGTCCAGCTTAAAGGTTACAAGTAAAACAAAAGCACCTGGAGTTAGCACAGAGGAGTCAACAAGCCATAAAGAAATAAAAGGAGATAAACCTGATCGCGTCTTCCTAGACATTTTCTGATCTACTTACATATCTGGGGTTTCAAATGAGTAGTTTTAAGGTATGATACCGATGATTTTTCATACCTGGCCCAAGTTTCTTACACCATAGTTCCAGCCCTGTCTGCCTCTCTCCGAGAACAACAGCAGCCAGACAAAGGGGGAGTCTTGTTTCAATTTTAAAAAGTTCTAGCCTTCCCATTGGCTCTTTTGGCCAGGTGCCCACTCACTTCCTTTTACCTATGCATCGCACTGACTTTTAACCCTTTACAGGTAAAGCAAGCAGAGAACAGCTACTAAGGATTTTATAGCTACTGGCTGGCTGGGCCCATAAAAGGAGCTACCCTCCCCCTTCATTTATCACACTCCCATCCCTGATGGACGGGGAGGTGCTCTGCGACTGTGAGGCCTATTTCTGCTTCTCCCTGGTCTCGCGCACCCGGGCAGAGTGCCTCTGGGCGGCGTCCGCTGGCTCCCTAGACAGCTTCGAGGAGCAGTGGGCACTCTCTGTGGTTCTCTGCTTGGTGTCCCCCTCTGGATCCCTAGTTCTGAACCTGTGACCTTCACTCCAGACCCTGTTATTCTTTAGTTGTCCCCCGAATTCAAGGCTGGGGGAGGAGCCTTTAGAAGCGGGCTGCCATTACACCTGGGACTGGATTCTCTGTTGCAGCGCGTTGGCTCTGCTACCTGTACCACTGCAAGGCAAATTCAGTTAAGCAGCCTTACAGCGCTACACAGGTCCTAAGGCAGAGTGGCACAGAGATGCCTTGGTTATAAGCTCCTGTTCAGAAAAAATTACACTGGGCTGAAATGTCTCACCCTTCTTCTTGTATGTGTGTAGGGACAGGAAGAGGGGGTTGGGTGGCTGCTGTTAGTTTAGTAACAACCAGTTCAGCCCTTTTTTTGAGGTTGCGCCTGACCCCATTAGAGTTCTTGGAATGCACTGTTAGCATTAATGATCAGTGGGGCCTTTTTGGCCTATAGTAGATGGTTTTTCCTTTCCCCATCTTCCTCCTCTGTCAGTCAAGGCCATTGGTGTGCTCTGGGCTCTGTGGCCAGAAGAAATGTTGAGGAAGGATTTAAAACCTGTAATATCCATCAGTACCAAATTGCTGCGGAAGGTTTTCTTCGGAGGGTCAGAAGAAGTGTCTGAGCAGCCAGGAGTTCATGCTGATTGCTTCTCAGTGCTTAGATAATTCCACTCAAATGGCTTGGTTTGAAACCTTCATTTTTGGCCTGGACATAAATCCCTGGGGGTGGGGGGCTGAGTTTTGCCAAGATTTGCTAAGAATAAAAGTGGGCAAAATGTGGAGATTAAAGGGCTTTGACTTGACTAGAGGTCGCTCTTTCTGTTTCCCTGCAACCCTCCCATGGCTGCTGCTGAAGGCCAGGTGGGGAGAAGGTACCGTATACAATTGTCTAAATGTATTAAACACGCTGCTTGCAAGCCTTTTACTGGGCTTGGGGCCACTGCACATTAGTCTGGTGGTGCAGCAGGGTTTTGAGACTACACAATAGCAGAGTTTTGCCTCCCCTTCATAACCCTTTGTCACCCTCTGATTTTCTCCTTCCTCATCCCTTAACAGTAGCAGCACTTGGAGTTATTGACCAATTCACATTTCTGCTAAAGCTTAGCATGGGCACAGTAGCCGAGTCCCACCTTTCTGTTCTTCCCACACCCAGTCAAGCTCCCTGATGACTTGGCACCTGCCATAGACAGGACCCAAAGCAATCCATTTGGGTCCTATATGCCACTTCAGGAGCAGGGAGTCAGACTTGAGGATCTGGTGCTAGAGCAGGATTCTACACTGCATCTTCCCTTGCCCTCTTCTTTCACTGCTACACTTAAGGGACCTTTTCTCTCTTTCCTTCTCCCCACAGCCCAGTGAGGGGCTGGATCAGAACCTGCTGGAGAAACAACTGATTGAGCTGCACCAGCAGAACCAGCAGCTGCTGGAGGAGAAGAAGGAGATGGAACAGAAGCTTCGGGCAGAGATCCTGCAGCTAAAGGAACATGTAGGTACAGAGCGGGAGTGTCGCCTCTCAGAGCATGCACCAGGGACTGCAGCACAGCTGGATGGGCCTCCTGAGAGTTTATACAGGGCACAGGGTCTCCAGGACAGGCACCCTGAAGGGCTGTGGCAGCTGTTCTTCAGATGTGAAGTCTCTCTGGGGAAGCAACAACTGGACTTGGGAGAGAGGCAGCTCAGCAGGCCTTTCTTGGAGGAGACCTGATTGCAGGACCATCTTTTCAGGTCTCTCTGCTTGGGTGAGCCAGGGGGCAACTTCTGGGTGATCCATGCAGCCTGTTCTGTGGAATAGCAATGAACAAGGCCATCTATCTGCTCCCACCGCGCCAACCTGGCTGCCTCTGACATCCCATCAGGTTTGAAAATCTGCAGCCCAGGAAGGCTGGAAGAACAGTCACTGGGGGCTGCTTGTCCTTCAGCCCAAATGGTTTTGAATTCCTGCCATGGGGTGGGGAAAGGAGAGGAAACCTTGTAGAGGAAGGGGGCAGAAAGCAAGGCTGCTGGAGAATACATCCAGTTAATTTAACATCCAGTCTGCCTTGCTGTGTCCTGCAGTCACAGTGCATGAGTTCTCCAGACTGCTCTAGAAAAGGGCACCTGGAAGCAATGGGGCTCGTCCTTCACCCTCCTCCATATCTCAGGCTTCTGACTTTTGGTTTTAACTGGTAAGACCAACAAAATACCCCCAATACCAGCAAACTGAAATTGGCATTTATCCAATAAACCACCAGAAAAACACTGGAAATGGTTACTTGTATCTAAGGGCTTGTCTACATGGAGCAGTAACGTGCTCTGTGAGGTTGTGATTTCCGAAGGGCACTAATGTGTTATGCGTTAATTGGTCCGCGTAGACCCTGCTCATGTGCACTAAAGGTTCCTGAGTGTGCTTTAAGGTATGCTTTTGAAACACTACTACCATAAAGTGTACTAGGGAACATTACAAAGAGATTACTCACTGCAGTATATACAGTACTCATGACAGTGTATGCAAAGAGAAAGTCTGAACCCTCCTGATTTTTAGAGATCTACATAGAACTCAAAAATCGAAAACTGAAATTAATAACCCCTGACGAACAGAAGCCCTGTCCATACCACTGATTTCAATGCATGCTTTCATTCTTGCCCAGTAACATTTCAGACCCGAATGTGAAAGGATCTCACCTGAATGTGAAAGAAGATGGAAGATGTAAAGGAGTTACTTGTGTATATCCCTTTTCCTTCCTGTATCGTCCTCCTGGTCACTTTCTACCTCCCTCTCTCTTCCCCAAAGCCTCCCTGCTTAGCCCATGGTAGGTGGGATGTGCAGCAGAGGCAGCTTGCTCCTTCCTGGGCATGCAGGGAGAGAGGAGACTGCATCAGCCTAGCATGCCGGGTCACAGATGTGTCCTGTTTCTCCCACAATCTCAGGTCACCCACAAACTACTGTCCCCACAGCAGTGAAGCTTTGGGGGCAGACACATGGCAGTTCCAGACACTATCAGAATCCAAATGGCATTGGGAGTCAGAGTCAACTCCCGCCTGGCTAAAGCACTCCGAGCACATGGGGATAATCACTCCCAGTCAGCTGCTACCAACATGAAGAGAGACTCCCTTAGCCGCAGTGCTCAGCTGCCTCTGGCTTAGAGGCTTTGGAACCTACTTGGTGAACTCCTGACCCTACAGATGTCAGCAGGAGTTGTGTCACGCTGGGATTTCACCCATTATTTTTGCTGGGTGCATATATAATCCTTATGGAGATGATGGGTTGTTAGCAGTGGCTGCAGCCCAGGCAGAGAGAGGGTAGACTGTATTCAGGCTTTTTTCCTTTCCAGTCACTCTGCCATTGTCCCTCAGTCCTGACCGGCAGCCCTCCCTGCTCTTGTAGTTCTGGGCTTCTCCTGAACATGGACTGGCAAACATCATAAAATGATGTGGGGTTTTGGGCTGTGGGGACAAAGCAGTGGTCTTCAAATGCATTTACCAGAGTCAAAACTGCACCCAGGTCCCCAGAGGTGACCGGCCACCTGATCTATGCTCCGCTGATGTCTAGGTAACCCCTAGAGCTCCATGTCTAGGTAACCCCTAGAGCAGTGGTCCCCAACGTGGTGCCCGTGGGCGCCATGGTGCCCGTCGGGGCATTCATGTGCGCCCGCCTAGTGCCCAGCAGGGGAGAGAAGCCGCGGCCCCGCGCCTGCCGGGGACAGAGAACTCCGGGGCTGCTTGGGGCGGCAAAAAGCTGGGAGCCAGCCCTGGCCAGAGCCCTGCCGCTGGAGAGCCAGAGCATTGTCCCCTGGAGCCGAGCCCGGGCTGCGGCAGCGAGAGGGGCTCCCGGAATGTGTGAGGAGCTGGGGAGGGAGGGAAGCAGGGCCCAGGATGCAGGGAGGGAGGAGAGGTCCTGCTGCTGCTACCGCTGCCGCCACTGCTGCTGCTCTGAGTCTCCGCAGGGTGGCGCAGCGTTTCCCCGCCCGAGTGGGCTGTGCAGGGCACCGCCGGGCTGGGCAGGGGGTGCGGATCCCGGCTCGCGCGCTGATGGGGTGAGTGGCTGGGCAGCCCGAGCTGCCAGGGAGCTGCCGCCTCCTGCCCCCAGACCCAGCCCGCAGCGCACCTCCCCCGCCTCAACCTCGCGCTGCTTGCCCCGGGCCCCCACAGCACCAGGGGTGGGGAGAGGCAGAGCCCGGCTCCGAGTGGGGCAGCGGGGGATACTGCCCCACCGGGGGACCCCCGTGGCTCAGGCACCTGGGGGTCAGTGTCCATCCTCTCGGCTCTGCCTGCATAGGGCTGGGGAAGCAGCTGTCAGCGCCTGCCCCTCTCAGCCCTTGCACCCCCCATCCCGCTCGCAGCCTCTTCACTTGTACCTCCCCCCATCGCTCCTTCACCAAACCCCTTCCCCTTGTACTCTCCCTTCACCCGCACGTCTCCCCTTGTACCCTCCCCCAGCCCTCTCCTCCTACACCTCCCCCTTCCCCTGCACCTCTTCTCCCGCAACCCTCCTGATACCCCCTCTCCTCCTCCACCCTCCTCCGTGAGTACATCACACCCCGCTTCTCTGCCAGTGTAGAGTCCCCAAGCACCCCCACACCCGCTCCTCTGCCTGAACCCCCTTTACTAGATCCCCATCACTTTCCGGGTACAAGGTTTGAGGGTTAGTCCCTATGCCTTCCATGTGCATTTGGGTGTGGGTGGGGGAGGCCACTGGGGGGGGGGAGCGCCGAGGGCTGAGGTGGGGGGCAGCCAAAAATTTTTTTGCTTGGGGCGGCAAAAAACCTAGAGCTGGCCCTGTCCCGGCAGGCGCAGGGCCTGCCTAGTGCCCAGCAGGGGAGAGAAGCCGGGGCCTCGCGCCTGCTGGGGACAGAGTACTCCAGGGCTGCGGGTGCCGGTGTTCTCTGTCCTCACGGCTTCTCTCCGGCTTCTTTCTTCTCTCTGGATTCATATATTATGTAATATTAAATATGATGTTTTTCGTATTATTTAATGTACAAATACAAAATAAGCCTTGAAAAATTGTTGGCGCCCGCCACACTCTTCTGAAAACATGAATGTGCTCCTGGCCACAGAAAGGTTGGGGACCACTGCCCTAGAGCTTAGCGCACAGTGCAGAGCAGGATGGTGCTGCAATGGGAGAGCAGCGGTTGTTACCGTGCCTTGTGCTATGGGGAACCGAAGATTTCTGTATCCAGCAAGCTGTCTGCTGCATTGGGTTTGACCTGCTTTACTTGTGTTTTGTCATGAAGGAATTGGCCACTGCCAAATATGACCCTAGCTCCTCTTTATGATCAAGGGGGCCTCTGTCATGCTGCCGCCATGCGGGTGCTTTCTTTGTTTCAGATTGCCAGCATTGTCCAAGCTAACATCCGCATGGCAGAGGAGCTGAAACAGTACCGAACCTCAGATGACCTGGAGAAGAAAGTCAGCAAGATGGTAGGTCTTCCTCCTTCTCCTTCGCTGCTTGAATGATCCTCTTATGCTGTTACCATTTGACTCTAGCTTCATGGTTAAACCCTGGGGCATGCTGAGAAAGGGGCAGTGCCAAGTCGTTTTGAGCCCAACATTCTAGTTGTGGGCTGTGAATGCTTCACAAAACAACATGAACAGACAGAATTTCATGCATTGTTTGTTTGTTAAACAACAGAAACATACGGTCAGATTTTAGACCAGTGCAGCACCATTGTAGTCAGAGAACTCAGCATCATGGGGCCAGGGCATGGGAACCAGGAAGTGAAACTGCCCAGCCAGGTTTTGCTATCCCACTAAGGAAACAAGCAGCATTAGTGATTAAAAGCTATTTAGTGTAAACCCCAGAGCACCTGTGTTAGTAATTTAGGTGCTGAGCACCTGCTGGAGTATACTTAACTCCCACTGACCCCTGTGAGCACATCCTCCTTCTCTTCCCCAGGATGTGCTGCCAGTCCGTCTCATCCTCCTCTTCCCCTGGACTCTTGGACAGGCCTCTCTTTTGCAGCTCCAGGCTCTGAAAATATTTCCTTTTCCACCCATCTGTAGCACCAGCCGTGGCAAGAGGCAGCAAGGCTAGCTCCCCTCCTCATTTCCAGCAGCTTTTAGAGCTCCAGGTTCTGCCTTGCAGTGGAGAGCCTGGACATGCATTAGAAGTAGCTGCAGAGGAGAAGGAACATGACCATGTGACCACACTGCTGTGCCAGTGTGTGACTCTTTCCAGGGCAACTCTGGTGCCACAATATATATTTTTCAAGGGGTTGGTTGGGATTCTCCTCTTCCTCCCTATACTCACAGTTTTGAAAACTCTCTTTCTGCCATTTATTCCTAATGCTTTAGACCTTTAAAAGGTCTCAGGGTCTATGTCTGCTTGGCAAAGCCAAACTTTCTGGGAACGGTGCCTGCTGCATCTTTGCTTTGCAGCTTCTGATGTCTGGGACCGCAGGTCTGGAATCCTGGTCCACAGGGCTCTTATGATATGTCTACACTGCAGTTAGACACCTGTGGCTGGCCCTGGTCACATGACTCCAGCTTGCGCTAAGGGGCTGTTTAACTGTGGTATAGACGTTGGGGCTCTGACTCTGCGAGCGGGGAGGATCCCAGAGCCCAGGCTCTAGACGAAGCCCCGTGAGCCTGGGTCAGCCCTGGGCCAGGCTAATTGCAGTAGAGACATGCCCTTAGGGGCTAGGCAGTCCTGACCTGCCACCCAGTAACCTGGTAACAGCTGCAGGAATAGCAGCTGAACTCTGACAGAGGAACGCAGTCCTGGAATCTGATTGGTGGAACACTGGCGGTCCTGATTGGTCTCCAGCCTCTAATTTAACCCAAGCATAGGAACAGGAAGTTCTTCTTTGAGTGATTGTTCATGTCCATTCCAAGCAGGTGTGTGCGCACCGCGTGCACGCCAGCCAGAAGATTTTCCCTTAGCAGCGTCCGTAGGGTCGGCCTTGGCGCCCCCTGGAGTGGCACCTCCATGGCGCCCTATATAGGGGCCCGCCGACCCTCCACCCCTTCAGTTCCTTCTTACCGCCGGTGACGGCTAGCTGGAACTTTGCTCGCTCTTGCGGCAAGCCTAGCAGTGTCCCGTTTCAGTGTATATAGTTGTTTTCTCTCTCATAGTTTAGAGTTAGTGTTAGTTGTAGATAGTTAATAGTTGTTGGGGGGTTTTCCCCAACGTACTCGTCGCCCCGCTGGGGCATGCCCGGGTCCCCAGGGTTTAAACTCTGCACGGACTGCAGGAAGTTTATGCCGAAGAGTAACCCGCACTCTTCCTGCTTAAGGTGCCTCAGAGAGAGCCACCAAAGAGACCGGTGCAGTATCTGCAGGGGATTCCGTCCCAGGACTCTTAAGGACAGAGAGCAGAGACTCAAAGTGCTCCTGATGGAGGCGGCCTTATGGCCACACTCGGACCCCGAGCTGCCCAACCCGGCGCCCAGCACCTCATCCTCGGTGCGCAGCACCCCGGCACCGCTAACAAGGCAGGAGGCCCAGTCTAAGACCTCTAAGTCCCAGCACCGGGGAGAATCGGGACATAGAAAATCGGTCTCCATAAGGCACCGATCACCATCTCCAGTGCCCGCAAAGAAGAAGAGGCCGGTGAGGGGCCGATCACCCCACCAGGACCTTAAAAGGCCGGCGGCGTCCACAAGTGCGGTGGGAAAAGCGGAGCCACAACCACACCCTCCCACAGTTCCGTCAACTCCCGCCCCGGGGGAGGGTGCGGTCGAGTCCAGACCGGTCGAGATCCCTGGACCTCAGCGAGGATGTGCGTCTCCCATCAACGCCGGAGGCGTTCGAGGCGGCCTCTGACTTATTAAGCCCCCCAGTGCCGGCCTCCCCGCACCGGTGGAAGGAGCCACCCACCATGGCCCGACCCCCGATTAAATCAAGGGTCAAGCCAGCCATGATGTCGCCCCAGTCCCTGCACCGCCCCTGCGGCACCGGCGTAGAGAGAGTGTTCTCCGGGCCCGCGGCACCACCCTCCGGCGGCAGTGGGTACTGCTCCCCCTCGATCCTCCTATTCGGAGACCTCGGACTCGGAGGCGGAATTCTACCGATCCAGTAGATTGAGGAGCAGGAGGTTGGCTTTGCAGGCACTGCACAACACACCTCATCGTTCAGTGTCGACCCCGGTACCGGCCGCGGTGCCGCATCTCGCATCCGCACCGGCCACGCAACCGCAGTACCGTGTGCTGCAGGCCCCTGCAGAGACTGAGGGTACAGAGGAAGGCCCTTTGCAGGTGATCTCCTCCTCTTCCTCTCCGGATGAGGCGGTTGCGGGAACTTCAGAGGCACCGGCCCTAGAGGACAACCGGGTGCTTCAGCAGCTACTTAAGCGTGCAGCTCAGAGCCTGGCGATCCAAGCGGAGATCGAGGTGGATGTGGATCCGGTAGTGGACATCCTGGCCCCCTTGGGCCCATCTAGGGTTGCCCTACCGTTTTTAAAAACAATAGCTGATACGTCTCACACCTTGTGGCAGACGCCAGCTTCGTTGGCCCCCACAGCCAAAAAGACAGAGAGGCGCTACTTTGTGCCCTCCAAGGGCCATGAGCACCTGTATGCCCACCCTCCCCTGGACTCTCTGGTTGTGGATGCGACCAACCAAAGGGAGCGTCAGGGGTTCCAAGGGTCTACACCGAAGAACAGGGAGGCCAAAAAGTTGGACCTATTTGGCAGAAAGGTGTACTCAACAGTGGGTCTGCAATTACGTATAGCCAACCAACAGGCTATCGTGAGCCAGTATGGACACAACACATGCTCAGCATTGTCCAAGTTCGCTGAACTCCTTCCCCAGGAATCGCGAACAGAGTTTTTGGCTATAGTAGAGGAGGGGAAATTAATTTCCCGGGCATCCCTCCAAGCAGCCCTGGATGCGGCGGACGCAGCCTCCCGCACACTGGCAACCAGGCTGGTTATGCGACGGGGAGCCTGGTTTCAGGTCTCAGGCCTTCCACATGAGGTCCAGGAGACCATCCAGAACCTCCCTTTCGAGGGACCCATGCTCTTCTCCAAAAAGACGGACAAGAGGCTCCATAGCCTAAAGGACTCAAGGGCTACCCTACGCTCGCTGGGCTTACACACCCCAGTCACCCAACGCAGGCAATTCAGGCCGCAGCTGGCCCCGCGACCTTACCAGCCCCAGAACCGCACAGAGGCCTTGTGTAGACGGAGCAGAAACGGCAGAAGGAGGCAACAACAGCCCTCCGGCCAGTCGTCCAGCCAGCTGCGGCCCCCGTCAGGGCCTAGACCCCAAATTTGATGGTGCGGTCGGGGACGACCTACCGGTCAGGACTCTGGATCCTACCAACCCTACCTTTTCATCACATGTGTCCCCCTTCTATCGTGCCTGGTCCCGAATCACATCAGACAGTTGGGTGCTCCACATGGTAGAGAGGGGATATTCTATCCATTTCTCCTCCCTCCCGCCCCACCAGCCTCCCTCCCCGTCCCTCTTCAGGGACCCCTCTCATGAGCAACTTCTAATTCAGGAAGTGCAGTCCCTCCTCGTAGGAGGGGCAGTAGAGGAAGTTCCTCAGGAACTCAGGGGCAGGGGTTTCTACTACTGTTACTTCCTAATACCGAAGGCAAAAGGGGGCCTCAGACCTATTCTGGACTTGCGGCGTCTGAACAAGTTTGTAAAGAAGCTCAAGTTCCATACGGTTTCCCTGTCCTCCATCATTCCCTCCATGGATCCAGGGGACTGGTACACCGCCCTCGACTTGAAGGCCGCGTATTTTCATATTGCAATAGTTACCCAGCACAGGCATTACCTCAGATTCAGCATGGGCAACGCCCATCTCCAGTTCACAGTCCTGCCTTTCGGCCTGTCAGCGGCCCCGAGGGTCTTCACAAAATGCATGGCAGTCGTGGCAGCCTTCCTACGCAAGCAGGGAATTCAGGTGTTCCCCTACCTGGACGATTGGCTCATCAAGGGCCGCGCAAAGACACAGGTGGAGGGTCAGGTGGTCTACATCAGACGGACCTTCCTCGAGCTCGGCCTCCTGCTGAACGAGGCCAAGTCCACCCTGTCTCCCATCCAGAGGATAGAATTTATAGGGGCAGTTCTGGACTCGATGCAAGCCAGAGCATACCTACCGGAGGCCAGGTTCCGGGCCATGTCCGACATCATTCTCGGTCTCCAACGTTGCCCGACCACCACAGTGAGAAACTGCCTCAAGTTGATGGGTCATATGGCTGGGTTCACCTATGTGGTGAACTATGTCAGGTCAGGCTGCGCCCTCTCCAGTCCTGGTTAGCGACTGTGTACTGACCAGCCAGGGACGTGCTGGACTCTGTGGTGACGCTTCCCAGAACGATGCTAGATTCCCTCCAGTGGTGGCTCGACCCGCGGGAGGTCTGCGCAGGAGTACCCTTTGTCAGCCCCCAGCCATCCCTATCCTTGGTAACAGACGCGTTGGATCTCGGGTGGGGGGCGCATCTGGGGAACCTCAGGACTCAAGGCCTTTGGTCCCCAGCGGACCTCTCCCTGCACATCAAAGTCAGGGAGCTACGGGTGGTGCGTCTAGCCTGCCTGTCCTTCAAATCTCGCCTGGTGGGCAGGTGTGTTGCAGTCCTCACAGACAATACCTCGGCAATGTTCTATATCAACAGACGGGGGTGCATGCTCCTTTCCCCTGTGCCGGGAAGCCCTCGCGTTATGGGATTTCTGCGTACAGAACGCAATTCACCTGACGGCATCCTACCTCTCAGGGTGCAGAACGGACTGGCGGACGCCCTCAGCCGTTTGTTCTATGGTTACGAGTGGTCCCTTCGCCGAGATGTAGCACGCACAATCTTCCGTCTCTGGGCTATCCCCAGATAGACCTGTTTGCCTTGAGGGACAACAGGAAGTGTCGATGTTTCTGCTCCCTCATAGGGCGCAGTCCAGGGTCCCTGACGGATGCCTTCCTCCTCTTGTGGGAAGGCGGCCTGCTTTACGCCTTCCCCCCGATTCCCATGGTTCATAGGGTACTCCTTAAGATCCGCAGGGATCATGCTCGTGTCATCCTGATAGCGCCGGCGTGGCCGCGCCAACACTGGTACACATCGCTGCTGCACATGTCCACACGGGTGCCCCTCTCATTGCCCCTGCTCCCAGACTTGATCTCGCAGGATCGGGGCCATTTCCGCCACCCGAACCTGGAGTTGCTCCACCTCACTGCCTGGATGCTCCATGGCTAAACCCCATGGAGATGCAATGCTCTCAGCAGGTCAGGCAAGTCCTCCTCGGTAGCAGAAAACCCTCCACCAGGGCCACATACACGGCCAAGTGGAAACGCTTCTCCATCTGGGCCGAACAGCAGGGTCAGGCTCCGTTGCTCGCCCCGATCCCTCTCATCCTGGATTACTTGCTTCATTTGAGACAGCTAGGACTTTCCTTCTCTTCAGTTCGGGTCCACTTGGCGGCCATCTCAGTGTTCCACCCAGGAGCGGAAGGTGGTTCAGTTTTCGCGAACCCATTGGTTTGTCGCTTCCTCAAGGGCCTGGACAGACTGTTCCCGCATACTCGGCAACCAGCCCCGGCTTGGGACCTCAATTTGGTCCTTTCCGCCCTCACAGGGCCCCCCTTCGAGCCCCTGGCTACGTGCTCTCTGTTATATCTCTCATATAAGGTTGCATTCCTAGTGGCTATCACCTCGGCCAGGAGGGTGTCGGAACTCAGAGCACTGACGTCCGAGCCTCTATACACCGTCTTCCACAAAGAGAAAGTCCAACTCAGGCCACACCTGGCGTTCCTTCCGAAGGTGGTCTCCCAATTCCACATGGGGCAAGACCTTGTTCTCCCTGTGTTCTACCCTAAGCCACCCTCCTCCGGCACGGAGCGTAGGCTGCATTCCCTGGACGTTCGCAGGGCCCTGGCATTCTATATTGAAAGAACCAAACCGTTCAGGAAATCAACCCAACTCTTTGTTGCTGTGGCCGACAGGATGAAGGGACTCCCTGTCTCGTCACAGCGTATCTCCTCATGGATCACGGCCTGCATCCGCGAATGCTACGGTCGGGCTAAGGTGCCTGCCCCGCCGACCACGGCCCACTCCACAAGGGCACAGGCCTCCTCCGCGGCATTCCTGGCTCAGGTCCTAACACAGGAAATATGCAGAGCTGCCACGTGGTCCTCAATCCACACATTTACGTCGCACTATGCCATCACGCACCAGGCCAGAGACGATGCAGCCTTCGGCCGCGCAATGCTCCAATCTGCAGTGAACTCCGACCCCACCGCCTAAGATCAGGCTTGTGAGTCACCTGCTTGGAATGGACATGAACAATCACTCAAAGAAGAAAAAACGGTTACTTACCTTTTTGTAACTGTTGTTCTTCGAGTTGTGTTATTCATGTCATTCCAATACCCACCCTCCTACCCCTCTGTCGCAGTGCCGGCAAGAAGGAACTGAGGGGGTGGAGGGTCGGCAAGCCCCTATATAGGGCGCCATGGAGGCGCCACTCCAGGGGGCGCCAAGGCTGACCCTATGGACGCTGCTAAGGGAAAATCTTCCGGCTGGCATGCACGCGGCGCACACACACCTGCTTGGAATGGACATGAACAACACATCTCGAAGAACAAGTTACAAAAAGGTAAGTAACCGTTTTTTGTTCACCCAACTGGGTTCTCCCTGCTCAGGACTGCTTCCTCTGAGATACCTGCTCACCTGACCCTGTCTGCTTCCTGACATGTGACTGTTGGTTCTTGCCTCAGACTCTGACCTCCTGGTATCTGACCTGGCCTGGCCCCCTGCTCCTGCTCTAACCATTAGGTCTGATGGCCTATGCCCCAGTCCTGACACCTGTAGCCATGACTGTAATGTCACATGCCGAGCTAAGGCTGGAGGGGTCAGTACTTGGAAGAGGTTAAGGAAAATGTAGATGCTATAGGAAGAGATGTCAGTGACTCAGCAGGTGGTGCTCTTCCCTTTGAGTCACTTCTAAACCTGGTGCCCCAGCATTGTGCTGCTGAATCATAGAATATCAGGGTTGGAAGGGACCTCAGGAGGCAGGGCTGGCTCTGGCTTTTTTGCCGCCCCAGGCAAAAAAGCCTCCGGCTGCCCCCCCCCCCCGGGGGGGGGGGGGGGGCC